GCTATAGGCGCCGAGCCACAAACATAGATTTTTGGTTTGCAGGGACAGATTCTTGCTTTGTTGCCCAAGCTAGAGTGAAGTAGTGTCATCATAGCTCCCTGTAGCTTCAAGCTTCTAGGCAAAGGGTGGCGCCTGTGGCTCAAAGGAGTAGAGCACCAGCCCCATATGCCAGAGGTGGTGGATTCAAATCCAGCCCTGGCCAAAAACTACCCCCAAAATAAATAAATAAATAATAAAGTCTTAAAAAAAAAAAGCTTCTAGGCAAAAATGATCCTCTTGCCTCAGCCTTCTGAGTAGCTGGGACTATAGGGGCATACCATCACACCTGGCTAATTTTTTTTTTTTTGAGACAGAATCTCAAACCGTCACCCTACACCACCCAAGGCATTGTAGCTCGCAGCAACCTCCAATTCGGGCTCAAGCAATCCTCTTGTCTCAGTTTTTCTATTTTTAGTAGAGATGAGGTCTCGCATTTGCTCAGGCTGGTCTCAAACTCGTGAGCTCAAGCAATCCACTGCCTTGGCCTCCCAGAGTGCTAGGATTACAGGCATGAGCCACATTGCCTGGCCCTGGCCAATTTTTTATTTTTTTATAGAGATGGGGTCTTGCCATGAGACCGGTCTCAAACTCCTGGGCTCAAGTGATTATCCCACTTTGGCTTCCCAAAGTGCTGGGGTTACTGGCACGAGCCACTGCACCTGGCTGACAAGCATAATTTTGAAGGAGAGGTGAAGGTTGAGGGGGGTTAGGAGAGAATGGAAAGCAGGGAATGGGAGTCAAGTAATCCTCCAAGCTTTGCTGCAAAGGAGAGAAAAGAAGATATGGTTAAAGCAGGAAGTGAGGTTCAGAATAGGTTTATAATTCTTTTTCATGACGTTTTGTGAATCCAGAGGTTTAGAATTTTTTTAACATGAGAAAAAATATACCACATTTGTATATTGATGGGGATGACCAAGCAGGAAACTGAAAATGTAAGGTAATAAAAGAGGTGAGGGATTCGGATGTGATGTCCTTGTGCAGACAAGATGGTATGAAATATAGTACACAGTGGAGGGATAAATGGCACACGGACAGTTCATTTATAGCAACCGTAGGAGTCTAAGTTGTGTGGGTGAAGATACTGGTGGCAGGGTAGGTGTGGTAGGGGGTGGACATTCTCTTCTGGTTGCTTCAGTTCTGTCAGTGAGTACGAAACAAGGTCATTGCCTGTGAGTGAAGATGGGAGAGGAAGCTTTGGGGGTTTGAAAAAAGGAGTGAAACCGCCATTTAGCAGAACTGGAAAGTGAAGGGCCTTGAGATGATTACCAAGCATTGTTAAGGACTCTCTTGAGGTTTGTGTGCATTCAACGAGATCAGTTAGCATAATTGTGTGTGCTGGGCGGCGCCTGTGGCTCAGTGTGTAGGGCACCGGCCTCATATACTGAGGGTGGCAGGTTCAAACCCAGTCCCAGCCAAACGGCAACAAAAAATACCAGGGCATTGTGGCGGGCGCCTGTAGTCCCAGTTACTTAGGAGTCGAGAGAATCATCTAAGCCCAGGAGTTAGAGGTTGCTGTGAATAGTGATGCTAAAGCACTCTACTGAGGTGAAACTCTGTCTCTTAAAAAAAAGAAATAATAATAATAATAATAACAAACGTAATTGTGTGTGTGTGTTTTCTGGCCATTTCAGTTTCACAGGTACAGTATGGGTTAAGCAGAGAGTTGGACTTAACTAGGGCTGTAGTTCTGCCAAATCATAAGCATATCAAAGTGAGAGAAGGGCCTGGAATTCACTCTGGGCAAGGGGTTAAAGAGAACATGAGGGGGTGAAGCACAGTGAGGAGGTAATAGGATCAATGATTCATCTGCCCCTGTCTTCATGACCCTCCCTCTAGTTAAAGCACAGAGAGTCAGAGGTTGATAGAGTCAAATAATTTTCAGTATGTGGAAAATAACATAGTGAGTTAGAGCCAGGGCTGAACTGGGGCCCTCCTGACCTAGCTTTCTCTTGGCCCTATGTTGGATCCATTTGGGAATCAGGGTTTATAGGCCCCTGTCAACAAGGTCCCTTACTACTGGGCCCCTTACTACAACTTCTAGGGTTGGAGAAATAAAGCTTCTTGTCTTTTTTATTTTTTAAAAAAATATGGACCGCTTCACGAATTTGCGGGTCATCCTTGCGCAGGGGTCATGCCATGCTAATCTTCTCTGTATTGTTCCAATTTTAGTATATGTGCTGCCAAAGCAAGCACATCCCTTTTATTTTATTTTATTTTATTTTTTTTTTGAGACGGAGCCTCAAGCTATCCCCCTGGGTAGAGTGCCATGGCATCATGCTCACAGCAACCTCCAACTCCTGGGCTCAAGCCAGTCTCCTGCCTCAGCCTCCCAAGTAGCTGGGACCACAGGC